ATTTTATGTTATTTTTTCTGTGAAAGGTTCTTGTAGCTTTATTGAGATCATTGGGATTCTTAGCAAGATTAGTGTGTTCACTTCAGGTAAGAATCATTGACAACTCTGAATGATATCATAAATTTGATTTTTTTTTTTTTTTTATATTCATGACATTTCCTGTTATCCATAATTATATCAATTTGCAGCCAGTGCCTATGAAAATTGTACAAAGCAAGCAATCAAAGGTGAGTCATGCTATCATCAGGTTACATTTTAAAATTACACTGTACGAGGTACCACATGATTATCACAACAGATACAAGTTCGGCACCATAGAATTATAGATTTGGCTACATGTGTGCTAGCTGAAAATTACAATTATATACTACCGTTAAATTGAGGTCCTTACTTTATATCTCCAGAAAACCTGCATAAAAAAGAACCAGCCAAGTAAACCAAAGGGTATAAAAACACCCAATAATCACTCCCAAACCTCACCATATTTCCCAGCGGACACCACAAGCAAAACCCCAAAGATTTCAAGGACCAGTAGAAACAAGAAAACACCAAGTACCTCACTGAATGAAAAGCAAGCAAAGMAACCAAAGTCAAGGCACAATGCCCGGAAACTTCGCAAGAAGAAGAAAGTSAACTATACTGYCAATGGTACAAGTGGTGGAAGTGATGATGAAGACAGYGATTAYGAAGAAGAAAGTCAGCAASCAAGYTCTGATGAAGATGAARATTTTGAAAAACAGAAAAAGTTTAATTTAAAAACACCAAAATSTAGTGGGAAGCATAAGAAGGTCAGTCCACAGAGCTCTTCAAGCCCATCGGTGGTAGAWTTGCTTGAYGATGATGACGAATTTGAAGTGACTAGTAAACCTGTCAACAAGAAAARARCAAAAACTGGTACTTCAGATAAACCAGTACAGATATTGTCTGATGACTCTGAATCTGGTGAAGATGTCTCCTTCACATCTGGTAAGTGAAGTGAGCATTTTCTTTTGAATTCGTAAAGTTTATGCACATATTGTAAATCTCTTACTAGTTTAGAATTTCTCATTCATATTATTTTTGGTACTAGGATCAAYCCCTGATTTTTGGGTAGAAGTGTACCTACCTTCTAGGAAATCTTGGTCTTGTAAGTACTTCACAGTAGTTTGCATGTGTCCACTTATATATCATCAGTCCATATGAGTGAAGTTCCACTGTCAACTCAAAAGTGTCCAGGAAATTGTTTTATTGTTTATTCATTGCAGATTGAGCTAAATGCATTCTACATGTAGTTGTAGGCCATTGTAACAACAATAATAATTAAATGTATCAAATATATTTCTAAAAATTTATTTTCATCTATTTACATAAGTAAAATTTACCTACTAGTAAAAAAACACAGTTTATTTTTAATATCCTGTACATAGCTATTGATATGGAGTCGTATAGCATTGACAAGCCTGAGCTGTGTGAAGATAACGCAATGCAACCATTGACTTATGTSCTTGGATTTGACAATGGTAAGGACAATACATCAGTACTCACCCAGTTAGAAATAGTAATATTGTCCACAATCTTTATGATATATTCCTTTTTTTGTAGAAAATAAGATTAAAGATGTAACTGGACGATATGCCAAAGACTGGCTATCCAAGACACAAAAGGTGCGCATTGATGCGGATTGGTGGGAGGAAACTCTTCTTCCGTTCAAGACCAAGAAAAAGGTGAGTTTTCCACTTTCCTTCATGTACTAGATTTTACAGTATGCTATCCAATGCTGTTATATGTTATATTGAGTAAATGAAGGCTCCAATGTTTATTGATTCTTGTCAAATGTTGCCTAAAATGATTTTTTTCTTTCAGAAAATGGATGAAAATGAAGACTCATTATTGTTAGGTAAAACTGTTGTTATTATTTAGTATATTGATTATATTTACATCCTCTTCATGCAGAAATATCAAAATAATGGTCTCTGAATGGAAGTCAAATTCATTGCATATTGCACATGTGATATAATTTGGTGTTGATTGACGTGCTTGTAGAAACTTTTATAGTAATTGATTTAAAAATATGATTTATTATGCAATAATTTCAACACACATGTATGATTTAATGTAATTATTGAAACTGCAACTGTTTTAGCGAAACACCAGGAAAAGCCTTTGCCACAAAGTATWACAGAATATAAAAATCATCCCTTGTAAGTACACTGCAGCAGAATGACAAATTGCATGTTATTTAAGTACTTACAGTTGTTGTAAGGAGTGATAAGTCTTGTTATGGATCTTTACTGCATTTCTTTGTTCAGATATGTGTTAAAGAGACACTTGCTCAAGTTTGAAGGTAACTCAATCATACCATGTAGCAATATTATAGTGCTTTCAAAGATATTTCACTATTTCATAGTGCTTTGAAAGTGTTATACAAATCTACTGAACTTCCTTATTGTTCATTAATAGCAATATACCCTGAGACAGCAGCTACACTTGGGTTTATCCGAGGGGAAGCAGTTTATTCAAGAGACTGTTTACATTTGGTAATGAGTCTGCTTTCATATCTAGATGTAGTTAAAATTATTGGTAGGTGACAGGGTTCTCAGTAGAAGCTGGAAGCTGCAAAAATCGCTAGTTATAGCTTAGTTAATCGCCGGCTACTTATGAATTTATTCAAAAAATATTTGTGTTTACTTTTCCTATTTTGATGTGTACTTTTCCTATTTTGACGTCTACTTTTATCCTAAAAGAAAGTGTTATCTTATAATATTCTAATTTAGATAAACATTTGTAAGGATATACTGTAAGCATATTCATTGTACTTTTTAGTTGCACACAMGAGAGAAGTGGATGTCCTTAGAGGCCAGGGTTGTGAAGGTTGGCATGAACTCTTAGAATTGAACTATTAATTTATTACTTTTTATAGCTCACTTTAAAATATTTAATTGCCCTATGCATTCACACGTGATTACAGTGTTTGATTGGTTATTAATTTGTAGATATCATGTATCAGTTGTAGTTCAAGACATGTTAATACTGTTTTATTCATAGTCCTAGTTCAATAGTTATCATAATTCTTTTAATATAAATTAATAATTTTCATATTGTATGTTTCATACATCTTTAGTTAGAGTTCTAAAATTATTTTTGATGTCTCAATGTTCTTGACTTGCAGCAAGGAGAACAGCCATATAAAATAGTTAGAGGACGTGTAAAAAGGGTAGGTTGTTACAAAATTCATCTTTGACAAGGACTGCACAGAAGGGGTCCTTCACTATATAATTTTGTCATTAGATTCGTTCCATGCAAGACMCACAATGACAGGATAATTCCTTGCATACTGTAGGCACTATGTTTTTGATTGTTTATGTTTCAGAATCAGCCAGTAGTTGATCCTAACTCAGTTACTATTGATCTGTTTGGGAGATGGCAGACAGAGGATTATAAGCCACCTCCAGCTAAAGATGTAAGTTGTTTTTGGCCAACCACCAGCGAATCAGTATGCTGGCGATTAATTGTTATTTTTTGCGAATAAAACAAGTATTTATCCAGTGGACATGTATCCAAGGAGAATTCATGTGTGCATAGCAACCTGCTTGTACCCCTACTATGTATGCTGAGGCCATGCCACTAGAGGGTGGGGCCTCTCGTGGCAGGTCCAGTTAGTTTGTTTTTGTTGCTTTTGTTGCTTGTTTTCCCGGGGGGTACTCCCATATATTTGCTATACAGGGACGTGCTGTGCTGGGCAGGGTATGGTTTTCGGCCTTGCTTACCGTATACATTTCACCCAAATTGTCTTAAACAGGGTCTACAATTAAGATAAAATACCGATATAATTTTTTTCTGTGTCTTGGACAGGGTAATATTTTCATAAGAAATACTGTTTCACTGTCCCAGGAATTAACGTGTTATCAAAAACTTCTTATTGTCTTTGATGGATGCAGTATAATTGCAGTTTTGATGGTTGCGGTGTAGAAAGCGATTCCTTATTTTTCTGATTTGTCTTGAACAGGGTATGGATTTTTACTTTCTAGTGTTTTAAACAGGGTAAGGGTTTTAGACCGTTGGCGGCACGTGCCTATCCGAAATGGGGTCGAGTACCCCGCCCCCCCCGGGGTTGTTTTAAAAATTGTTTCTTTTCTAATTGTTATCTGTTATCTATGATTTGAAATTTTAGGGCAAAGTTCCCAAGAATGAGTATGGCAATGTTGAGTTATTCAAACCMAGTATGTTGCCACCAGGAACAAAGCATATTCAAAGTAAGAAATTTGTAGATTATGCCATATTTGTATAAAACAATGAAACATTTCATTAATATAAGTGCACTTAATAAATGGGAACTCATGAAGCTTCTGGCTACAGTCATTAGAGAGCTTAAGCATGAAGTTCGCAGCAAACTGCAAACGGCAAAAGCGATCACATGACCTGCTTTCTTGGGGTTTACCGTTATAGTTTCAATGCGAGAGTGGGTTAATTTGAGGTTGCCCTAATCCTGAAAAGTCACTCTTTCCAATGACTACCAAAAGCACAAGGTCAGGCACAAAATTCTTTAAAGGTCATTGGTTCAGCTCTGCCATTAGCCATTTACCATAACTATGATGTTTAAACTCTCTATTCCACTTGTGAAACTCAAACTTTAAGGTTCCTGTTACGGATTACCTGTGTAACATGCGCACGCATGTAAAGTGTAACACGTGCGAATAAAAACCGAGTCAACGCCATCTTGTTTGTGTTAGTCATTCTAGTAAATACATGACAGTTCCTCTAGTGTTTCCAGTTGGAAATGACAAGGTTGATGTAAAGATAAGATTTAATACACTCTGTAGATTGACATGCATGTACTACATATAGCTTGTTAGTAACTTGAATGATGAAATGATTTCTTGCACATTTGCAGTTCCAGGAATACAGAAAATTGCCAGGAAACTTGGCATTGATGGAGCACCTGCTGTGGTTGGATTTGATTTTCATTGTGGCTTTTGCCATCCCATGTATGTACATGTAAACAACATTTTAAATTGATATAAAACTGATATTATATTATCCCACAGGCTTCATGTAACACAACACAATAGATACTGATGTCATCATTTTTCAGAATTGATGGTCTTGTTGTATGCAAAGAGCATGTTTCCACTTTGATGGATGCATGGAGACAAGAGCAGAAAGAAGCCCAAAGAAGGAARGAAGAGGTGGGTTTTTAATTCCACAGTAATTTTACACATCGACATTGAATTATTAATTTGTAATTTATGTTTTATTAGAAGCGAGAGAAAAGAGTTCTTGGGAACTGGAAATTGCTGGTAAAATCAATGCTGATAAGAGAAAGACTGAAAAGRAAATACACCTCAGATAATAAGGTATTATTTTTATCTTACAATAAACATTAAATAATACTAGGTAAATGATGCTTCAATTCTGTGCAGTCAGTATGCAGATGTGAGTATTTCTCAATCAAAATGCTGGCATACATATAGATTAACTTGAACACATATACTCCAATTTCGAGTTCTGGTTTGCTCTGTGTTAGCCTCAAAACCAAGTAACATATTCTTTTGTTTTATTGATAGCCCGAGAAAACGCATGGAATTCGAAAAGAAAGACAATAGAATTGAATTGAAATCTCACACTTTTATTCTCACAATTAGGAATATTTTGCGCACACAAATGAGGCTAACACAGAGCATTGGAGAATTCGAAACTGGATTATTGTCAACCTTTGTTTACATGTAATTATCATATCATCTTAGTTATAGTCTATTAGTTGGCAATTAATGCAATTTGCATGTGAGAGCTCTTGTAAGCTAAGCAGCAACTGTATTTGAAAAGTTGTAGGCAAAAAATGTACTATACACCCTTTTAATAAGTCCCAAGGTATTGTGTTCTCCGCAATTGACGTCAAATTTATTCTTTTGAATTCCTTTTGTATTGTAAAAATTTCAAAAGACTAAATTTGACGTCAAGTGCGGAGAACTCGATACATCGGGACTTATTAAAAGGGTGTATACTCTGAATATACATGCACATAGGCTGTGATAAAAGCGCACGTGGTCAAGGCTATTATTGCTGCCCAAATAAGGCTTGTGAACAAGAAACTTAATGTAGGCATCACATACGATTGGACATCTACCAGTGATAATATTTGATCACAAGTAATATTGATTGCCAGATGCAATAAACAGAAAGCTCATCAATAGATCATGATAAGGCCGATCATGCAATAAATACATTATGCAGGAAGCCCCAGTAGAGCTCAGGATGGATACTGTCTGTATTCAATGTTTGATCATTCAGTACTTGATGTATATAGGAGTCAATAACAAGCTCAGAACAAGGAGAAATACTGGAGGATGAGAAGGTTACAGAGGCTGTTGCATGGCCACAGAACATGAAAGGTAGATTTTGTACTTGTACAGCATTTTTCAGTCAATGATCTCACAGAATGGTGAAGCATGTGGTTTTCTGGAGTTAAATGAAAATATCAATTGTATTATTACTCTTTATAGAGGGCAAAACAAGTGTAGATGAYKATGGRCATTGCCATGTTTTTCCTAAAAAGCTTCACAAGAAAGACAAGATCACAGGGGAATGGACAAAGGCCTGTTCTTGTGGCTTCACCCTTCCTYTAAACTAGGACATAATATGAATTTCAATATATATTTTGTTTATT